AGCAGCATTTACTGAGCAACATTAGGTAAATTAAGTACTTAAACGAACCATAAGAAGTTCTAAGTGTTTAAGAAAAAAAATAAAATTTTCTCGATAATTCCCACCTTGTGGAAACGTCAAAAATAGCTATAAATTAGAACAATAAATTGAAATATTTTGTTAAGTATACAACTTTAAGCAACCACTTTATACAAAAATAACTTGTCTTTAGTCAAGATATTTTGTACATATGCTAATGAGCGGATACGTAGTTATTGAATATCGTAGAATAAAGTCTCTCTTCATTTCGATAGTTTTCGGTGTATTCATTGATAAGTTAACTTATTGTCCGTGTGTTCGACGTTTACATCAAACCCTTTAAAATAAGATAGAACTTAACAGCATTCACCGAAAAAAACGAGCTTTTGGATATTATTTTCTATGCAGATGGCTATGTTGGTCAAATGTGGGAATGCTTCAAAACAACAAACCACATTTTCGAGCATACAACATGCCACGCATATTTTTATTCCTAAGATTAATGAAAAAACGTTTTCATAATAGGTTAGCTCTTTAAAAAATGCCTTTATTGGATATTAAGCTAACGAACTTCTGCGTATATTAACTTTTTCGAAGGTAATCTGACAGGGAAATGTGGGACTTTTGACAATTCCTTTAGTTTATTTGAAGAAAAACGATTAATTTTGACTGGAGATGAAAGAACATACCTTTCTCTTTATAACGGATTATTTTTCGCTTAGAGAGGTTTATTTTAAAACCCATAACAAGCGTGCGAATGCAGAAAAAAACGGGCCACATATATGACCATTTTTTGAAAAACTTATTATTCTTCTGTCCCGTTTCTAAATAACGCTTGATCGGAACGTATTGCGGTAAAAGAAAATGTTCTACCAAAAACGTTTTTATTACTGCATATTTTTGCAAAAAACTTCCCAGAATAGCTAAATATAGCTTTTTTAAACTTGTATCCTTGCTTGTTTCTGAAAATAAATGCGATTCCGTAAACTTTGCTTTAGTTGCATTTGATCAAGTTCCCACAAAATTTTCCAATACTTTTTTTACTAATTCCACAGCACAATGTATATTAAAAGAAAGTTTTGTCTTTCCTTATAGTATAGGGAATTTCTTTAATATAAGCATACTCATGATTTAGCCAAAATGAGAGCCTATTTCCCCCTATAACTTCAACTAAGAGGGCAGTTTTCCAAATCAAAGCCCTTCTTGTCATTAAATCCATTCAGTTGATCGAAATAACCTGTCCAGATATATGCTTAACTAACAAGTTTAATTTCGTCATGAATGTTGCTTGCAGGACTCGCAGAACTGTACGTCGGAGTGCCATTAGGTCCACATTAAGAAGAAGCTATTGCAGCCTAACTATCAGTCCGTCAGCCGGTCAGTCACTCACTCCAGACCACAAAATAGATAAGACGAGCACTTACGGCGGCATCAACGTAGAACAGTTGCTTGGGTAGTCGTTAGTTGTCCATCCCTACAGGGATTTCTTTTGAAAAAAATGTGCGCTTTTTCTCTTATCTGTTTTTTTTTCAGAAATTCGAAGGTGGACCTGCGAGTTTTGTGCCAAATGTTTTTTTACAAAGGGAACCCTAAACAAGCACATCAATTGTGTCCATAAGCGTACGTCTGTTATCTCCTGTCTTCACTGCTATGCATTTTTGCTTCCTCCCAGTAGGTCTTATTCTCAACGATGTTTTCCGGGTGATTTCGCTTGAGAACTGCAGTGCTGATGCCCTTTATATTTTCATCGGAATTTGTGCGGGACCTTAATGT